CGCCCGCCCCCCGAGCCCCGGCCTCATGTTCACACGGTCCTCCCCGGGCTCGCGGTGCCGCCCCGCCCGCCTGGCCCCTCCCCGGCCCCGGGTGGAGGGGGCGCGGCCGCCGTGGCCCCAGCGCCGCAGTCTGCGCCCCAGGCTCCCGCAGCCGCCCTGGGGTGTGCGGCGTCCTGCAAGGACTGAAATACGCAGTCACTGGGCACCCGGAAAGTGTCCCGCAGAGTATGTGCACGATTGAGTCCAGGCCCAGCACCCCTCCAATGACACGGTCTTGGGGCTCTTTCCACGTATATACTGGGAAGGTGACCCCAGCTGCTTTGCTCACCCCAACTCACACTCTGCATAGTGCCTGGCCCTAGCCCCGACCTCTCTGGTCCCCCAGCCCACTGGGGGACACTGACGCGTTTAGCCCACCGTGGGGCACTCTGAGACTGTTCTCTGTAGCACCCACCTGGGTTCAAAAAATCCCTGCAGAAAATGTTCCCTCCGCTGCAATCTAGTTAAACTTATCTTTTTAACAGGTCTCACTATGTAGTCTTGGCTAGCCTGGAACACTCTCTGGCTATGTAGATTAGGCTGGCCTTGAGCTCCCACCTGCCTTTGCCTCCCAAGTGCTGGGATTAAAGGCCTGCACTACCAGGCCCAGTTTAGTTAAGAGCAGCCTACACTTTGAAGGCTAAAGGGTCTCCAGGTCAAGGGCAGAAGACATCTGGAACTTTGTCCCAGCACAGGTGGCATCCATGATCACAGGAACCTACAAACAGGTCAAATAGAGGCAGTGCTGGCCACATGGCCCTGCAAGCAAGACAGTCCTTACAAGAGACACATTCACAGGGCCTTCCCACCTTTCTCCAGGCACAGAGGGCCCAGGCAGTGATAGCATCACTCCAGGAACAAAGGGAGTCAGGACCCATGGATGAAATGGGTGACTAGGCTCAGGGATACGAATGTTCTCTATTGAGCTTTTCTGGGTAGTGTTCATTTCAGTTTCTCCTGTAACTGTTACATACATCTTCATGTATATGTGGGCATATGTCTACATATATAACACGTGTATGTATGCAGCCATGCACACTAATTCCTTTGGTGGCGGGGAGGGAAACGCCATAAATCCCCCACCTAACTCATAATGCATAAAGCCACTGTTGTCTTCTTGGGGCCCTGCCTACCGTAACCCAGAGCTCCCCTCCTTAGCACCCTGAGCAGTTCTGTCACTCCAATCCTGGTACTTGCGCAGGATCCGGGCTGAGCCTGCTTCTTTGGGGGCATTACCCACTCTGCCGCTGGTTGGATAAATTGAGAAAAATCACTTTTCTGTGGTTGGGTTTCCTTTGACCTTTTCATTCCCCAGTGAAGGCGCGTCCCATCCCTTTCTCCATCTTCGGCCTCTCCCTCCTACTCCTTTTGTTCTTGGTGCTGAGACTTGTTCTTTCTAGTCCTAAGAGTGTGGTGGGGTTTTTTTTTTTTTACACATTTGTAAATCTTCACTTAGTGAAACCTTCCCTCCAGCCTTTGTCTTTGTGTTCTTAATGGTAGCCATAAATTACCCCTTTCTTTTCTCCCCACAGCATCAGCCTTCATTGCTTTTGAAACAAAGTTATTTCTTTTAAAATCCAACTCAAAACTTCCCATTGTGTAGCATGGGGCTCTTTAGCACTAGTCAAAGCATATAAATACATAAAGCTGGCCGTTAAACTCTAGGGCGCCTCCTCCAGTGCCCTTGTGCCTGGTAAAGAGAGACGTGTGCTGTTTGTCTCCCCTTTAAGGGTTCCTCCAAGTTTGTATATCAGCAGAAATACAAAGTAATAATGATGATAAGGCCTGGTGCTTCCTACCTAAGAGGGTCCGTTTTTGTCATGTTTCCCAGAAATATTCACGACTGACTGAGCTGTCAAAAATTGTCCTGAATCCTATTTTGTTTGCTCTTAATTCCACACAAATGCTTTCTTCTGTGGGTCAGCTCCCAGACTCCTGGACAACCTTCTGACACTTGAAATTAAAGTCAATATGGTTTACGACTGGGAATTTCCAGAGAGTCCAGGGGGAAACTGTGTTCCAGCTTTCAGCGTTGGGAGGGCCCCACTGGCCCTTCACTCACTGCTTTCTGGTCCCTGTTGTCGAGATGAGGTCCCCACAAACTTCCCAGAAAGGCTACAGGCAGTGTGTCCAGACTGAGGCTTGTCCCTGTCACCGCCTCACCCTGCAGGCTGTGAGACCATGAACCAGGCCTGTTGAAGGAACAAGCAGCCCAGCCAGCCCAGCCTCACCAGTGTGGACTTCTGGTCATTCTAGAGGGACCCAAAGTGTCCTGTAACTAGCTCAAACTTGGCCTTACTGGGCAGCTCTCATGGCCATCTTTTCCCACTCCAGAGCAGCCTCTGAGGGGATGAGCACTTCTCCTTGTGGAAACTCTCTCTCATCCCATGGTTTTTCCAACCAGACTCTTGGTTTTCCTCTCACCTAGCTGAAAAGTCCTTCTTTACTCCCCCTCCCCCACTGCATTCTCTCCCTGGAAGGCTCACTCACAGGCCCTTGATTTCATAGCACAAATCTCTGGGCCGGAGTTTCTCTTAGCTGTAGGCCAATAAATCATCCTATTATCTATCAGCTTCCCATAGTTCCCTCTGACTCAACATGCTTGAAAGAGAGCTCATTTTCTTTTCTTGTTTGTTTATTTTGTTTGTTTGTTTGTTTGTTTGACAGTCTCCCTAAGTAGTTCGGGCTGGCTTTGAACTCACAATCCTGTTTCGGCCTCCTGAGTGCCGGGATTCCATTCCCCACCACATTCAGCTCTGGAGCTCATTTTCTTCCTCATTCCCTCCCATCTCAGCACATCCAAACACACTGTTTCTACCTTCTTACCACCTTCAGAAACCGTCCTCTTCCTCTGGTTCCACTGCCTGGGGTCAGGGCCTCACCATCCCTCAACTGGACACCTCCTCCACCATTCTCTGCTGATCTCCCTCATTAGAACTTCATCCCAAGAAGTGCCCAAGTGAGATCTAAATATCATCACATCACTCTGATGTTCCTCAAGCCAAAGTCAAAACTGTCTGGATCCAACCACGGTGGAGAGTGTTGGGCAGCCCACTTCTGAGGAAAAGGCATGCATCTGGTCACCAAAAGGCTTGAACTAGATACTTTTGAGACAGGTGTTATGTAGCCCAGGTTGGCCTTGAACTTACTAGGTAGCTAAGGATGACCTTTAACTTTTGATCCTCCTCTCTCTGTCTTCTCAGTGCTGAGTTTACAGGCATACCCCACCCCACCTGGTTGATGCATTGCTGAGGATGGAACCCAGGGCTTCGTGTATGATAAACAAGCACTATACTAACTGAGCTATGTCCCCAGCTCATTATTTGTTTCCTAATGGCTATCATCCTGACTGGGGAGAGATGGAATCTCAAAGTAGCTTTAATTTGTATTTCTCTGATGAGTTGAACATTTTTCATGTTTATTGGCCTCTGTATTTCTTCTTTGGGGAATTCTCTGTTCATTTCACTAGCCCATTTATTGATTGCACTGTTTGATTTCTTGGTTTTTTTTGTTTTTTGTTTTTTTGTCTTTTGTTTGAGTGCTTTGGATATTCTAGATACTAATCCTCTGATATGTAACTAGCAAAGATTTCTCCCCCATCCTAAAGGCTGTCTCTTCACTCTGTTAACTGTTCTTTTGCTGTACAGAAGCTTTTTAATTTCAAGAGGGCCTGCTTGCTCCTTATTGGTGATGTAACACTTCTATTTTGTTTTTTAATATTTTGCTCACGTATATAAGTGCACCTGTGTTGGACAATGCTCATGGAGGTCAGAAGGGGGCGTTGGATCCCCTAGAACTAGAGTTACAGACTGCTGTAAATTGCCACCTGGGAATCGAACCCAGGTTCTCTGCAAGAGCAACCAGTACTCCAGCCCCAATGAGCTGTTGAGCCATCACTCCAGTCCCCTGATGCAGCACTTTTAGATTTGGTTTCTAAGTGTGTAGGCATTTGCTTTGCAATGTTACAGCAGTTTCACACACCAGGATTCTAAACTCTTGAGGGAATTCCAATTTCCTGCACTATGCTTTTCCAAAGGTCCGTGAGCTTGCTTTATTTTGTAATAATTACTGGCAGTGTTGACTGCCAGAGTGCCCACAGTCCTATCTCAGTGTTCAGACCAGAGAGTTAATATTGATGCAGACATCCCAGGAATGGACAGATAAGCCAGCTTCCTGCTGAGGGTTCAACATTGTCCCCATGAGATTCCCTTTCTTCTGTGGCCACTGTTGCTACTGCTACAGCCTCAGCAGACACCCTGGGCCCAGGGCCCAGGGCCCAGTCCAGCTGCCTTGGAACCCCACAGTGCTGTGCATTCATCCAGTGCATGCACACAGGTGCCAGGAAGCCAGGGCTGAGCCCACAAGTGACCACACTTTCATCTATGCATCCCCAATATTGTTCCATCAGACTTCATTTACAAAGCACAGATCTGAGCAGATTACAGTGCCAACCTATAATCCCAGCACTTGGGGGGCAGAGGCCAGAGGACTGTGGGTTTGAAGTAGTTATGGGTTATGTAGTGAAACCTTGTCTCAAAATAAAGAAAGAAACAAGACTGGAGAGATGGCTCAGTTAAGAGTGCATACTGATCCAAGTTCTGCCTAGCACCCACTTGGACAGCTCACAATTGCATGTAACTCCAGCTCCAAGGGATCCAACACCCTCTTCTGAACTCCTTGGGTACATACACTCATATACACACACAAATAGACACATACATATACACATAATTAAAAAATAATAAATCTTGCTAGGCCTGGTGGTACATACCTTTAATCCCAGCACTTAGGAGGCAGAGG